TTATGAGGGTCAGGGAATTTTGGAAAAAATATCATTTAGTAAGTTGGGAGAGAGTATGTATGCCAAAAAAAAGAGGGAGAGTTGGGGATTAAGAATATTAAACTCACAAATCAAACCCTTCTTGCCAAATGGTGGTGAAGAGTAATGAACCAAGATGGGATGCTTTGGAAGGATATATTAAGTGAGAAATATGGGGTGAATTAATCTATTATTCAAATTGGCGATGGAGGATGGGCGGGACAACAATCACAAATTTGGAAAGGACTTTTGGGGGGAAGAGAATTCATGATGCGACATTGTAGATGGATTGTTGGAAGTGACAGCAAAATTTCTTTTTGGCATAGCAAGTGGCTTGGAGACCCTTTATTAAAAGACTCTTACCCACTGGTTTATGATGTTGTTCAGCAGAGAATGACTATGAGCCAAGGTTTGATTGGATGAGGAAAGAGTGGAATGTGACTTGCCGTCACAATAGGGTCTCAGATTTGATCATTGGGCAATTTTTAGAATTGCATGAAGCATTACAAGAAGTGCAACCAATTCCAAGTAGAGAGTATGAATTTCTCTGGGAAGTTGAAAGTGATGGGATGTTCACTGTGAAATCAGCCTATAATCTGTTATTTCATGACAGTGAGAGATGGAGTCGAAGTTCTTTGAAAAATCTATGGTGTTAGAGAGTTCCATTTAAATTGTTTCTGTGGATTCTCTTTCAAAGAAAAACTTTAACTGTAGATAACTTAATGAAAAGAAGCAGAACAGTAACCAATGTTTGTATTATGCGCAAAGAGAGTGACGAGTTTGGAGAACATTTGTTTCTCCATTGCTTCTTTACTATTTAAATTTGAAAGTGGTTGTTCCATAAGATGGGGATGACTTTAACGCTGCCTAATAGTCATATGAAGATAATGGATCACTTAAGTATGGATGGCTTGCCAAAGGTAGGATGTGTGATTCTGGAAATTGGCAGTGCAGCAGTGTTATGAGAGATTTGGTTGAAAAGAAATGGACTAACTTTTGAAGGTCAAGGTGGATATGGTGGAGAGATGAGTTTTAAATACAATGTGGAGATGGTTTTCTATTACTAAGGAGGGTTTTGGAACTTCAGGAATTGACATGGAGGTTAACCTCTCAAATTTGATTAAACGACATACGGTGAAAGTGCGACCTAGAGGAAGGTGGATGCCACTTTTAAGAGGATGTTTGAAACTGAATTTTGATGGTAATTCTTTGGATAACCCAGACCCGATAGGCATTAGAAGGAATTCGTAAGGACTCTTCAGAAGCCACTATTTTCTATTATGCAGGACCAAGTGGTGTGTTATTGAGAAATCGAGGCTTTAGAACGAGATGTGCAGCTAATGGTACAAAAAGGACTCACAGGTGCTTTCATTTTCAAAAGGGGCTATTTAAATGTGACTAATTGGTGCAATTCTATTGCAAGACCTCCTTAGCGATTGAGAAGGAAACTGTTGCAAATTCTGGATCTTTAGTCAAGCACGCAAGTCTATATCCAAAATGTGTATGGGGAAGCAAATTCAATGGTTGATGACCTCGCTAAAAGGGTAGTTGAATTACCTTCAGTTTTAATTTCTGATGTCTTTCCTTTTTGAATCTTTGTACTCACTCTTTTGACCAATAAAAGTAACGTTGTTAAATAAAAAATAAAAATAAAATAAAATAAAATAAAATAAAAAACTGACAGAAGTACATCTAGGTAAAGTATTGTGGAAATTTCTGTCATTGATTGTAAAGTAGCAATGTTCAACTCATCATGGAAGAAGTCACATATGTTATTCGGCATTAGCTGTGCATGGCAGTGCCGAACCGTGCTCCTTCCTAAATACAAAGAGCATGGTGAAGTCATAATACATTTCATCCAATTTCACGAGTGAACATATGTCTCACTCCAAGAGCATGCACGAATCTCACCTCGTGAACCAACAGAAATTTACCTAGAAACCATAGAACTACAGTTTCAATAAGTATTATTTATGCCTCTATGTTACTGAGAAATAAACAGGAAAAATCAAACAGAGTAGCACACCATAACGTCTTTCTGAAGATGAGGACAAATTTTCGGAAAGCACTTACCTAGAATCTGGTGTTTCAGATTGTCCGAACTGTCTGAACAGTGCAGCCAACAAGAAGCCGCATTTGGCTAGTTTGTAGCCAATGTATCGCCGCATGTGGCTGAAACATGGCAAGCAGCCAAACTCATCTGCAAGATGATGTCCCCTTTTGGATGATGTTTGGTGGTAAGCTGCTAACCCACGACTGCGCGTGGTGCATGGTCGTAGTGTGTCCACTTTGTTTTTCATGACTCTAGGAGTGATTTACGACTTTAAAATTTTTCCAAACATATCAAATGTACAGTAGAAATTACAAAGGTTGGTCAATCTGTTTTTTTTTTTTTTTCAAAATTACCCCTAAGTCCAAAATTTCCTAAAATTGAATTTTCATTTGTTTTAGTTTCTTTCATAGTAGGGCACTGCCCTACTAACAAAAAATTTGGACGGAGGATTCTATCCTCAAACCAAGGAGAACTTTTGAAAAAACCTCTAGGAGCAATTTTGAAAAAATCTTAAGGAGCAATTTAAAAAAAAGAAAAAAAAAAAGCGGGTTTATTGACCTTTGTAATTTTTACCCATAAATAAAGCATTTCGTATTTAAAAAAAATTAGGGTAATCACTCAAACTATAAATACGCCACTCCTGCAGCTGAAAGGGGTATCGCATTAGGAAGAGAGAATAAAAAATGTCTCAGCTGCCCTTTTATGAATCTTTGTCGACCTGAACCTGGAGGACTTTGAAACCTCTGATCTAGTCACTGACCAACCATTTCATATATCGATTACTATCAATCTGTCGATTCCTTGTCTTCATAGTCACTGACCAACCATTTCATATGTCGATTACTATCAATTTGTCGATGCCTTGTCTTCATTAATACCCCTCCCTGCCAATGGATATCTTCTCTGAAACATGGCTTTCAATCTATTCTACGGTTCTCCACTCCAGATAGTCTTGTTTTTTTCTGCTTCTCTATTTTTTTACAATTTAGAATCCAATTAAACAAAAATCCTTTCATATTCAATACAGTTCATCAGTAGATCTTTAGTTTTCTTAAACAACTTATGATCATAGCCCAGAGTGTGTGTGGGGTGACCCGACATAATTTTGGTAAGAACCCCTTTTTACTCTCTAATATCAAGCAATCAAGAATTTGTAAGGTGCTAAACCACAATGAACTTTGATATGAAGGATTTCAACTCAAACTGATTAAAATAGATCAAAATGATAATCATGATGTAAATTTTCATTCTATTAAGGGATCTACTCCGATCAACAAGGATTTGGAAGTGATTCAGGCACAAAGCTTTGGACCAAGCAAGAGTCTAGCCAACCAACCCTAGCGAACATTCATGAATCTAATTTGAATTAAAAAAAGGGTGTGGTTTCCATAAGGTTGCAACCTTAAACACACCTCCAAAATTTCTGATGCAATTTTGGTTTAAAAAATTCTAAGGATTATATGAAAATCTATTTTTTACCTGTAGTTATACAATTTTAAGCTCCAAAAACGATTAAAATCAAACAGATCTATAAACATATGAAAATAGATGGCTAAATAATTTATTACGAGATGTACTATGTTTAAGACTCAAAATCTTTTTTTCTTTTCATATTCTCCATGTTGAGGTGTCTTTAATTTTACATTTTAAGGTTGCAACCTTATATAAACTTTCTCCTTAAAAAAAGTAAGTCTACTTAAATTGGACAAACTTAGAATCACCAAAATCTCAACTGATGCAGGAGAGGATCAAGAACCGTCAAATTTGAAAATGGAAAGCCCAAGATTGAGCATTGTTTAAGGGATTATTATCCATTCTTAAAAAAAAAGTATAAATGCTATTCTTGATGTGAGAGAACACCCCCTGCATGAATCGCGATCAAGATAGGCAGACTGTAAATCCAACCCCAACCAAAAAAAAAATACCGCGTTTACCTATATTTTTCATTTCATTTTCTTAAGTTCATCTACTATTTTCTTATATCCCCATAAACCTCTTTTTTTATTTTATATTTTTAAATTACTGATTTGGACTAATCCAAATTAGTGATCCAACAATCTGACATGGATTTGTGGGGTGCATGATCTACCCCACTGATCCAAATTTTGAAAAACCTGTTGGGGCCATCATGGTGCCTTACTCAACCAGCTAGCAGCCTCAAAGCCCATTCCTCGGTTTAGCCCACTAAAGGGTTCACCAAAAGCAAGACCCAACCATAGTCAACCAAGAGGACACAGGTAACGAAGGACATCGCATCAAACCCTAGCTTTGAACTTGCCTTTGTTCAATGAGGCAAGCCCATCAAGGTGGTCGTCACCTTCCCTAACTAGCAATGGGAGAGCCCCTAGTGGGCAGCCCATGTCCAAGCTGCTGCCCCTCCAATGGACCTAGCTTGAAACATGGGCAGGAGGCCGCCCCAGGAAGTGGCCCGGTCTCCATGACCAGCCAACCAGGATAGGTTTCAAATTAGCTGCTCGCAATCTAAAAGAGTCTCAACAGCTGTAGCGGAGCACGTGCCGGGAATCTTAAAGAGAACCTTGTCCCTATTAGGTTGAGATGCTCCAAGTAAGGCAACAAGATTCATCCCCAGTGCCTGAAAGAACCAATGACAGCCGTGGATGCTGAAAGCAATATTTTTCTGGTAATTCCAGAACTTTCAGATTTTCAAGGCAAAACTGGTCGCTAAGTTGATTAGGTCACATCCCAAAACATGGGGTCCAAAAAATGCTCTTAGCTACAGTTTCGTTGAAGGAGCAGACATTTTCTGCTCCCCTCTGGGAGAATATAATATTTTTCAAAGAACAAAGGTTCTTCTTAATACTTCAAGCACAGTACAATCAATGTAAAATCTCACAACCGTTTTATAACAAAATATCCACTCCCGCTGTTAGTGCAAAGTCTAGTTTTTTGCATTCTGTTGTCACTGAGATCTAACAAGAAGGTTACTAAGTTGAAGAAATGTCAACAGTTTACAAAAGGTAGCAGACTGTAAACGTGAAATCAATGTTTACGACTCATAAGAGAGCTTATTTGTAAGAAAAATGAAAGGCATCATAATGTGAATCATGAGCTCATCATGATCTTTGCTAAATGCTCGTCAGAACCTCCTCAGATTAAGGATCATACTTATTTTTAACATGAATATAATATTGATTATAGGGATGGTTCTTTGACCTTGCAACAAAAGTAAACACTCATATTATGAAACAATCTTAAATGTTATCTAGTACTTCCTATAAGTTAATTCCTTCACAACCGCTTCAAGGGATGGCTCATTCTTTATACTCTTAACCCACTGCGCATTGATCCGAATGTGCTCAACACTTTGCTTCACGGTCCTTTCAATTGAAGGTTTGATACGGCTTGAAAAGAAGGCTTCTACCTCCTCTGCTCTTTCATTGCTTGAAAACTAAAATCACAAGTAGATATATATAATAACATTAGAAAAAGGGATGTGCATGAATATTTTGCAATGGAATACAATGCATCATCATCCAATCAATATGCACGAATCAATACATTGAAGAAAGCTTCGGGACATACCTGAGACACAACAGCGCTGATAAAACGGGTTACCAAGAATCCAGAACCCCAAGTCTTTGATATGAAATCCCAGTTGTCCTACATTGAATTGAAGATATTAGCAAGACACGATTGGATTTTGCATGACAATATCAGACAATTTGTAGCTGAGGAGATCGGATCTAAATGAGACTTTCACTTCTTGCCTCTTTTTTTTTTGTTTTTGGATTTGGTTTGCATAAGGTGTCAACCTCAAACAATCAAAGTAAGGTGCACCTCTGGATCTTGCTAAAAGATGTCGTTTTGGTGAAAAACATCCTTTTGGTGGCCTAAAAAGCTATTTTCACCCCTATTATTGAAATTTAAAGCACAAAAAATGGTGTAGTTCCAGTTGATCTATAAACACTCAAATTTTTTGAAAATAGACTAAGATTTTGTATTACAAGATACACTATTTATAAGATTTGAAATAACTTTTTTTTCCATATCCATACATCTCAAGGTCAAGATTTATCAACTATAGAGGTTTTTAATCTCAAAAGAACCTTTTTAGGATAATTTTTAAGGTGCACCTTGCTTCTACATTATAAGGTGACACCTATATATACTTTTTCCTTTATTTTTTCTTTTCTTCTTTTTTTTTGAAATGTTCGACAGTGCTTTCATTAACTGTGAAGGGGCTTACAAAATGTGGCGAAGGCCCACCTCTTGTGGAGACATGTACAAAATATAGTGCTTGAGAAAGCATGCTATACAAAACTAGTGCTTTAGAAAGCCCGCTAGACATCTTAAAGGAGAAGGAAGACAAAAATTAGGAACCAAGCTCATAAAGTTGCTGGTGAGGTTCCACTAATGGCATGTGAAGTAGCTTCCCCTTTTGCCCACGCATCCGCTCCAGAGTTGGCCTCCCGCCAGATACATTGATAGGAGATGTAAATATGCCTGCATGGGAAGGGATATTTGCTAAAAAATGCTTTTTGAAGGCCATGGGCAGGTGGAGGCTCCTGAGGCCCATGCATTCATGGTTATAATTTTTGATACCCTGGAGAAGCGCAACCGCTTCAACTGTAGTCGAATCAGCAAGGCCTATGTGATCCAAGTAGGAAAGAATTAATACTGGAACTTAGATATGTGAAAAGTCATGTGAAACCTGCAGGATCCAGCTTGCCAAGAGAGCAGCCAATGAAGATCAGCTTGATTTGGTTGGCCTCAGGAGGCCTCTGAAGGGAGTGACAGGAAATACAAACCTAGTTTCCAAAATGTTGTGACAACAGTTGAGGAAATAGGCGGACACCAAACCTTTGAAACTTTTGTGACTATGTGACAAAAGTATCACCATGGCTTTGACGTTATATAACCTCGAATACTCTTGAGTTTCTTCCAATCCACAAGGTCCAAATGACCACCGCTACAGTTGCTCCCCAAAGGAAGATGCCGCCTGCTTGGATAGGTGGTGAGCGAAAAGCTTAGAAAAGTTGTATTGACTGGAGGGTCAACCAATACCATCCAAAGCACTGCAATAGGTCTGTCAATAGAGACCTACCAATGAGGGAGGAGATGATCGTTGGTCTCTTTTGCTGATTTACATAACGGACATCTGTTTGGGAAGGGCATACCCCTGCATTGTAGTTGGTCAACTATCAAGACATCAAGGATAGCTAGCTAACAGAAAAATTTGGGTCTTAGAAGGGATGGTCCAAGAAGGGTGAGGACCTTAAATTTTCCCTTTAACCTGTCGTAAGCCCAATAAAGGAGGTGGATTGTGTTAGGTACGCAGCCAACGTAAAACTTTGCATGAATTCTGTAGCCAATCCCAAATAGTTGGAGAAAGACTCTAATGACAATGATGATGATGAGGGATGGAGCTCAACCATGCTTTCTTGGATAAGGGTTGACTGAGTAGGTGAGGGAAGTTAGCGTAGGGCAGCATACAAGGAAGAAACTGAGAATCACCCACAGGCTGATGGGGACAAAATGATCTTATCAGGTCCTACAGTGGGTAAGATGATGTTCTGGATGAGGGCAGATAAAGAGGTGAAGTCGTTGAGCTCATGATCCTGCAACAGACAAAAGTGTGGCTCCAAACTCAGTGGTGCCCTAAAGTCTCAAAGGATTGACTAATAGTGACCTTTGGGTTACGGCTTGCTGGAATAGAGATGGATAAGATCATGTACTCATGTAGGCAGGCGTCACCTATTCAAATGAGCACCAGAACTTGGTTCTCGACCTAAACAAAATTTGGGCTTTCAAAGAGGAAGGATTGACATAATAGAATGCGAAGCCCCCAAGGGTATGGAGGTTAGCTGTGCCGAAGGGTCTAGTTGATACTTGTGCCGAAGGGTCTAGTTGATACTTTTGCCCAATGATCATGTGCCATATGTGATCTGGTTTTGTGGTAAAATGACGCCACCATTTACATAGTAGAGCTAGGTTTCTCTTTTTGAGACGCCGGATACTTAGGCCTATCATTCTTTTTAGGGAGAGTGATGATGCTCCACACAACCAAGTGTATGTGATTAAGGTTGTCTAATCCAGACCATAGGAAGTCCCACATGAGTTTTTCAAGGCCTTGAGCTGTGGATGCAGGCATAGGGAAAAAGGACACAATAGACTGGGAGATTAGCGAGGGTAGATTTTATTAAAGTGAAACGTCCTACATGGGAGAGGCCTCTACTACCGCAAGGTTCCGGTTAAACCCTTTTACTATAGGGGCCCACAATTACTTTCTAGGTTTGTCACCAGTGTCTTGAGGCGATCATTCCACCCGATTTTCAAAAACTAAACGAGAATGAAAAGCTTAGGTTTTGGGAGCCATAGTTATAGGGATCACCCATGTAGGGATCTGCTTCTGCCGCAGAATCTCAATCCCATGCTCCGAGTGACCGGATCTCGATTCCAAAAGCTTCCTTGTGTATTTAGATCTCGTGCCCAGAGTTATGGGAACTGGATTCCTATTATTGGGATCCAGATCTCGTTCCCTAGCAAGTGGGATCCAGATCCGCATGCCCTAGATCATGGCTCCAATATCATTTGGAACCACGATTCCATCATACCAGCAAATTTTATTTTATTCGTACATAGTATTTGGTTTTCCTCAATTTTTCAAATATCAATTAGTTTGTGAGTAAAAGCATCCAGTCGTGTCCTTGACTTTCATTTATTTATTTATTCTACAACTCCAATTGTTAAGCGTGCAAACCAAAAGAAATACATAATGAACCCAACACCCCTACTCCTTATACCTCGCTTCCTCTTTTTTCTCCCTCCCTCTCTCTCTCTCTCGCTCTCTCTCTCTCTCTCTCAAGAATGAAACCAACAAGTCATAGCTGCCACCTAAATCATTTCACGCAACCTGGGAATAGCGATTGTAGAATGCTATTTGGTGTTCTCTGTGCCCACCCACGAGAAGTATCACATGAGGTTTTCAAGGCGAAGGATAACCGAGATGGGGATTTGGGAGAGGGACATATAGTAGATAGGGATGTTTGCTAGAGTGGCTTTGATTAGAGTGATTCCTCCCCCAAAGGATAGGAAATGACCCTTCCAGAAGGCGAACTTCCAAGTGAACTTCTCTGTGTAAGATTGTCCCAGAGGTGTTTTCTAGATTTACCTAAACAGAGGGGCAAAAAACTTAAGTAGGAGGAAGGGAGGGAATCCAACACACAACCTGAGCGTAGGGCAAGGCATTTCAATTCTGCACCCTAAAGACGGATGCCCAGCATTTGGTCTTTGTTACGTTTACTTTCATTCCAAACAAAAGTTTAAAGGTCCTAAGAAACTGTTAGACGCAGTCTACTTGGTCAGGATTGGCCTTGCAGAAGATGCGGGTATCATCTGTATAGAGGAGGTGCGAAATTGTTGGGCAAGAGGGAGAGGTCCTAAGGCCTGAGGGGAGACTCCTATCAAAGAGTCCAGAGATAGTTCTAGTAAAAAACTCTCCAATGAGGGTGAAGAGGAAATTCGAGAGGGGGTCCCCCTGCCTAAGCCCTCTAGCAGCAGGGAAGAAACCTTTCGAGGATTAATTGCAGCACTTTTCAAAACTCGAGGACGAGTTTTCTCTAACCAGGGGAGAAAGATGGAGGGAAAATTATACTTATATTCAATTTTAAGGGATGTAGATTTTGATTTTACTTTTAGAATTTATTATAGGATTTGAAGTTTTTTTTAAGGATTCTAGGGTCTTTTTATATATTTTGTTTATTTACTACTCATGAGTACTATTTATGGTACTGTTCATGAGTTATTGTCCGTGCGTTATTATTCACACAGTATTTTTGAAATTTAAGTATTGTTTTAGGGGTAGTTTAGAGTCTTAAATTTTTACGTGGATCTCAAGTTAAATTAGGGTTTTATACGTTTATAAAAGATTGGATGTCATATTTTGGGAGATATATGTTATTGGAATAAAATTTTATTTTATAAAAGAATAAAGTTTTCTTCTCTTTGCTTAATTTACAGCCATATTATTTCTCCATTATTGTTGATTTTATTTGTTTATGGTTCAGGAAAAAGGAGGATTCAATTTCCCACATTTTCTTCCTGCATCAAGATGACAAAATAATGGAAAGATTTAGCCGGTCTGGTCATGGGCAGCATCGATCTAGCATAGCACCGGTTAAGAAGGGTGATTTGGTTCAAGTGTAAGGCTCTAAAAGAGCAAGGGAAAGGTCCCAAAGGACATGATGGAAGTAGTGAGAGAATATATAGTGACTTACGGTCCAAAGGGGGTATGGCACTTGATCAGTGTTTTCAAAAGCGCTAGGTGCCACCTAGGCAGTCAGGGGGGGTCTAGGCCGCCTAACGCCTAGGCGGGCACCCAGAACTTGGGTGGCAAGGTAGAATATTTGTTTTTTTGGGTGTTCTCTCTCTAAAATAGCCTCTAAGGGGTTTGGGTTTCGAATGAACCTAAAACCTTCAATTTTACCCCTTTAGTATTAAAAAAATACCTAAAAATACCCTTAAGGAACCGCATTTTTGCCCCTGGGAGGGGCACAGGCCTTGGGCGGCCGCCTAACCTGGATCAGGCAAGCGCCTGTGAAAATCCGCCTAGGCAGCTGCGAAGGTGCTGGGAGGTCTGCTTTTTGAAGCACGGCCCTTGATAGAGTAGAATGGTAGAATAGGATTCATGTAGCCGACCCAAAATAGTTGGGATAGGGCTCGAATGATGATGATGATCAAAGCATTTCAACTTCACATTTCCGCAATGATTCATAAGATGGTGAAAAAACTATGTGAGTTTAGGTCCCTAGCTCCATAGGCATGACTCATGCACCTTGCTAAATTTATTTTTATATGCCATCACCACTTTTTTAACCAGTAAACAAAAAAGGGATGCAAACATACCACATAAAATGAAAATGTTTGTGAGTAAACAACATAATTAATTGTCTTGTTCAATAAAGTTTTCTAGAAATGCAATCGGTTACATAAGACAAGTTAATTGTGTTTAGATGACCGATATCAAGAAATGTCCCGTGGTTAATATGATGAACTTGGAAAATATGGAATTAAAGCTTACAACAAGAACTTTACAATGTAAACGAACCACCATGAGATTATGTGAACCTCGTAAAAGCATAAATTTAAGTCACAAAATCATGGCTACTAATTGCAAAACTATGAGAAATTGTTCTTTGTTCGTTTTTATCAGAATGACAACTCAGAGCAGAACGCATAAAATTACTTTTGTCCCCACTATGCAAAGATACAAAATTATATAATATTTTGTCTAAGAAAGACATAAAATTACACTATCACAGTTTCTATGCTCAATTATGAAGGAACCTACGAAATAGATATCTTTGTATATTAAAAATTATATTGGGTAATTATTACCTGTAGCCATTTCCACGCAACATCGCGCCCTTCCGTGCTTATTCCTGCTAGTCCATATACTACATCTTGACTGCGAACCTGATTATGATACGGCAAAATGTCAATGACTATCGAGTATGTGATGCAATGAATGTGAAACAAATGGCTTCTGAACTGCCATACCTCAGAGGTCAGCAAAAAGTTTAAAGCTTCTTGAACAATCTCAGGATCTGGACAAGACGCCAAAGAACCTGCCAGAAAATAATGAAAGAAATTATTTCTTGCTTACCAGAGTGGCATGCCTTTAATATTTCTATGGGGTTGCATTATGACTTACTCAGGATCCGACTCTTTTCTTGACTCAGATCAGTTTCTCTATAAATTCTCAAAAGTGATTCATATCCAGACCTATTTGAAGTACTAACACGCTGCATGACAGCCACATAAGCCGCCTACAAAAAGGTACATGAACCAAATATCAATAAAGACTCTCAACTATGGAGACCAAAAAAAAAAAAAAGGAAAAGAGCAAAAGACAAATTTCTACAGAGAAACACAAGAGTAAAATCAATTATAAGCTTAAGGCATAACCTTTCTTGTGTCAGCAGGGAGAAGTGGTGTGTTTCCATCATGGACGAACATATTGAACCGATTTATTGCTTCAGATAGGGCTATCTCGTGCCCAAATACAGCCAGGGCAGTTAAAATCTGCCCCCTCAACATTGCATCCAAATGGCTCTCACCTGAAATTGGCTCCCAACCCAACTTCCTACACAATATTAAAATGACAAGCAGCTGTAATACAAAAGAATAACAAGGCATGCAGAAGTTACGATGTTACAAGATATACTGAGGGAGAACGAAGAAACCTAACCCACATTTTGCAGAGATGAGCAATACAAAAATAGTTCTCATGAATAACCATGATTTCTAAGAATAATTAGTATTGGAAAAATGAACAATTGAAAAATCATATGATTGCGTCGCATCACCTCCTACTGTTATTTGGAGTATCATCATCATCATAGCTTTTTCCCAATTAATTGGAGTTAGCTACACGAATCCTGGTCCACCATTCTGCTCTATTAAGGTCATACCTTCAGTGAGGACATAAGTCCCTATATCTTTTGTCACTACTTCAAACCATGTCCTGTTTGGCCTACCCCTTGTTCTTTTTTAGCCTTCCAATTGAACTAACTCGCACCACATAACTGTGTTGTACTGAGTCTACGACACACATGGCCATCCCACCTAAGTCTACTCTCTCATCTTATCACCTATTGGTGCCACACCTAAATTTTCTCGAATGGATTCATTTCAAATTCTATCATTTCTTGTCTTGTCACTCATCCATCTCAACATCCTCATCTCCACTACACTCATTCTATGGGTATAAATTTTTTTGACTGCCCAACATTCTGTCCCATAGAGCAAAGATGGTATCACAATTGTCCTACTTTTATTTGTAATATAAAGAAACAAAAATGGGTTCTTTCTATATTTGGCTCTGCGCAAGTAAAATAATCCCTTCTCAATACGATTGAAATGTGATCGGCAAAATTTCAGTTGATGGCCATCTGCATTCAGACACGAATGTTATTTCTTATGATTTTTCAACCAAACACAATACTGAGGGCTTGACGAGGAACTGAGGTATCGATGAACAATTGAACCAAATCTGCAGCTTCAACTTCTTTTTCTTGTTTTTGTTTTCCTTGTTCTGCATATGTTTTGCATTGATATAGTTGCAATGTAGAGCTTTGTCTATGTTATGGGGCCTTCAGGTTGAATTTTTTTTTTTTTTTAAATTGTCAGAACTTTATTTACGCTTAGGGCCTTTATGTAATTGTTCATATGTCTAAGGGCTTTTTGTCATTGTGTATGTAATCTAATAAGAGCTTAGGGAGCCCCAACCCCACTTCTTCCAACCTCATGAGACCACTTCTTTCTGTGTGCTCTCATTAGAGAAAACTACATGGAAAAGAATTGGTTGTGCACCACCTATCACTCTTTTAACACAATGTTGTTTAGACCCAGTCTGGTTGGACAGGCTGGTGATCAGTTGAAATAATTATAAATTCTAAAAAAATGAAAATAAATAAATTATTGAAAACTGTAAATAATATAAAAAAAAAAGGAAAATTTCAAAAATGATTAGAAACAAAAAAACCCATCAAGAAATAATTAAATACTCATTAACAATGAAAAAAGTCGAATAACTACGCAAGAAACATCCCATGGCAATTATTTGACAAAAAACAAATCTTGAAAATATACTTAGTTACTCTCGGTTCATATAAGTGATTCAATATCAACATAAATTTAAGTTTTTCACCAGAATCACTACGGAAACTAAGACAAAAATTACATAAGCTCTTGACTATGGAAATAAATTCTTTCTATGATTCACTATTTATAAAGAGGCATTCCTAACATACAACCAACAAAATAGACAAGAAAACAATTTTCATATCCAATCAAAACCAAGAAGAAAAATAATGGAATAAGAAAAACCTAAGTATCGATGCAAAGAAACATCCCAACACAATTATGTGCAAAAATAACAACTTTTCTTGAAAAACCTTTTCATGATTTATACTTTCATATCTTTTTTGAGAAAAGTTGACTGTTGTATTGCTGTAGAGTGTAAAGTACATTAAAGGGATCCGAGAGACCCACAGGTCGGGTCTCCCAGCCAAAACATAGGTTAAAATAAAGACCTTATACAAAAAATGAGCTATTTTAGCGTACCCAATTACAATAGGTTGACCTTTGGAATAAGAAGTTGGGCTTATAGACTTGCCCACATACAGAGTCTTCTTTTAAGTTACAAAAAATGGGGCTTATAGACTTGCCCGATTACAAGAGATGAGCTAAGTAGTTACAAAAAATGGGGCTTCTAGACTTGCCTACAAACAAGAGACGTGCTGAGAAGTATTTACACCCTGTAACGCCCTCTGTGGTCCAGAGCAAAAAAGGACACAGATCGGGTGGGATCTTCAGCTTGGGCCCCAGCTCCTTCTTTCGCTAGGAGATCAGAGAGCTCGTTGGACGTCCTCCAAATATGCTTCGAAGAGATGTCCATATCCCTGCATGTGTAAGTAATTCTATCAAAAATAGAGAAAGGTACCACGGAGGTTGTGCGGTCCCTACTGCCCAGGAGATGACGTTTTGAGTGTCCCCTTCCACCAGCAAACCCAAGAGTGGTCGAAGCTTTTAAGCCCCATTAGCAAAGCCATGGCTTTAGCATATTGAGAGTCTTTGTGGGCTAAGTGTTGAGAGAAAGTGAAAAGGATGTTGTGGTGATGATCTCGAAAAACTCCACCTGCTCCCGCAAGGGCCGAGTTCCCCAAGGAGCAGCCGTTGAAGTTGAGTTTTAATGCACCATCTGGAGGTGGTTGCCAATTGTTGGGTCTTTGGGCCTTCCGTGGTTGGAGATATAGAATATTTTCTCATTGGCTGAGAAAAGTATTTGCTACAATCCTGTAGAAGGCCCTGTGGTTTGAGGCCCAAAAGGTTACTAGAGTAGTAACCTTATGGAAGAGGACTGAAACATCGTTTTGTGGCCTTGGAAGACCTTGGCATTCCTCAAAAGCCAGATGACCCAAATAGTGGCTGCAATAGATAGCTGCCACATGGTTCTTCTTTCCTTCGGCCAATGATGAGCTTGGTAGGAAGAAATGAGAGCCTTGACTGAGGGTGGGGTGACCCATTGAAGTCGAAACAGCTGTAGTACTTGGCTCCACAAGCCGAAAGCTAGGCTGCAGCGAATGAAGAGGTGAGAGTTCGATTCCTCCTCACATAAGCACATGGCGCAACGCTTGGGGATTTGAATCTCGTTCGTTTGAAGCTGATCAACTGTGAGTGCCCTTTGGGAGCAGGCAATCCTGTTGAAGGTCTGTACTATGGGAGGGGCAATGGTAGACCATACTTTGGATAGGATCGAGATAGGGTTGAGAGGGAAAGTAACGGGTTGGATGAGTGCTTTGTAAAAAGAAGCTACGGAGAAGGTTCTTGTGGAAGAGAGCTCAAATTAGAGAGCCCCTCCCTTGGGGAGCAAAGAAGGTGGAATGCAATGTTGCCGAGAGTGGAAGGAACATGCTAAATTCGTCTTCGTTGAGGTTTCTTCTGAAAGAGGGGTTCCAGACTCTTCGGTCCCTAGATGTGACCATTTCATCGACAATGGTAGCCTCTTTGTTAAAGGCTAAGTGGTAAAGAGACAGAAAAATATCCCTCAGGGGAGTGTGTCCTATCCAAAGGTCCGACCAGAATCGCACTCTTGTTCCTCCTGTAGGATGAATGCAAATGAATTTTTTGAACAGTGATAGAGAAGCAGTAAACGATTTCTACGCCCCTGAAGTCTTACCTGGGACCTTTCTATCAAGAATTCAGGTATCATCTACAATCCTGTATTTTCTGCGAATGACTTGAGCCTAGAGGGAGTTGGGTTGAGTTGCTAAACGCCACCACCATTTTCCAAGTAGGGCTAGGTTGTGCTTTCTAAGGATTCTAATCCCTAGGCCACCTTGGAGTTTGGGCAGGCACACCTTATCTCAGGAGATTAGGTGACATTTGATCGTCTTAGTCTGTCCTGACCAAAGGAAGCTCCTCATCAACTGATCGAGACGCTTGGCCACCGAGGCAAGCATGTGGAAGAGGGACATAAGGTAGACCGGAGAATTTGCCAAAGTAACTTTGATCAGAGTGGTGCGGCTCGCCACGGAAGATATCACCCTTTCCAACCAGCCAAACGCTTGTCCACTTTGTCTATGATATAAGACCACTCTCTTTTTAGGTTTTCCCAATCCCAAGGGTAGGCCCAAGTAATTGGTGGGAAAGTCTTCTACTTTGCACTCCCAATTAGGAATTAGCGCTCTGATTATGTCATTTGTGAGTGCCACCCCCATCATCTTTGATTTTTCCATATTTACTTTGAAGCCTGTAGCTGCCTCGAAGCATTTGAGATAGAGCCTCTGATTTTTAATTTCTTCACAAGAAGCATCAAGGAACACTAAGGTGTCGTCTGCATATTGCAGATGAGACACCATCAAGCCTTGAGTGCTGCACTTGAAGCTAGTGAGGAGACCTACCTAGTACAATCGTGAGATTGACCGACTAAAGGCTTCTACCGTGATGGCCAAGAGAAACGGGGATAGAGGATCCCCTTGGCAGAGCTCCCTTGAGGATGGAAAGAATACTTTTACGATCCCATTAATGAGGATCAAGAAGTGGGGTTGAGAGTAGCAACCTCTCATCCACTTTCTCCAACGAACCCCAAAACCTATTCTTGCCATTATCTCGTCCAATAATGCCCAGTCTACATGGTCATACGCTTTCTCCCAGTCAATTTTGAAATTTGAGTCCTGGCTTCTTGGAAATGTGCTTAGAGTGTAGGCACTCATGTGCCACCAACGCCCCATCAAGAATTTGCCTATCTTTAATTAAGGTTGATTGTGACTGCGAAATGATGAGGGGGAGAACTTGTTTTAACCTGAGGCTAGCACCTTGGCCATAATTTTATATGAAGAATTGAGCAAACTAATTGGACGAAAATCCTTTAGTTCCTCTACCCCTTCAACCTTGGGGATTAAGGCTATGAAGGTGACGTTGATGGCTTTGTGAAGGATTCCCCGAAGGAAGAATTCATAGTCTTGTCGAAAGGTTTACCAAAAAGATTTGAAAGGGGCAATGGGGAAGCCGTCCAGACCCAGCGCTTAGTCTTTGGCTAAATCACCTACAGGCCCTATAAATTTCCTCTTCAGAGAAAGG